CGACCAAGGAAAAATTACAAAATAAATTTGTTCAAATTTCCAGTGCTACACACTAGGTGTTTTACAGAGTGATGAAGCGTTGTAGGCTTGTGGGTCTACACATGTGACAGCGTCTTCTGTAATAGTTGCTTCATGGTTAGATTTTAGTTTAAAACTTTAGACGAGTGGCGTTGATGGTTGATAAAATGTGATTTAACAATAACACCGAAATATCAATGTTTAACAAAGGAGGATATGTTGCACTGATCATAATTTTACTGAGCATTGCAAAGAAATGCAAGCCAAGGTGTGTTTTGATGATTGAGTGGTGATATTCATAACATCGTAGTTAGCAACAAAATGTAGTCGAAAGTATGAAAAAAAGAGCAAGTTGTAAGCCAGTATAATTATAAGATGGCTTTAATAAAAACATCGGTATTCACGAACGCCAATTCCCTATCCACACCATCCCACCATCCATGCCATTCCTTATTTTTTGATCGGGATCATTTGCGGTCCAATATAGGGATCATTTCCGGTCCGGGATCATTTGCGGTCCAATTTGGGGATCATTTCCAGTCCGGGATCATTTGCGGACCCGTACAAGCCTCTTCTTAAACGGTGAAAAAGATATGGCACTTAAATAGAAGTCAACTTTGAATGCAAGTAAACCGCCATTCTAAACAACGTGCCTGTAATGCTAGACTTGCAAGTAATTAAGCATTCTTTAAATCCTTCTGTTTACTGAGTGAGCTTCTTTTAAACGGTGAAAAAGATGCGGCACTTAGATGACAACTTTTTAAATACAGGTAAACCGCCCTTTTAAACAATGTCCTTGTAATGCTAGACTTATGGTAATTAATCGCTCTTTCTGTTTTGATACTGAGTGAAACTCTTTTTAAAAGGTGAAAAACATGTGGCTCTTAATAGATAGATGACTAAATAATGTGCTTGTATTACAAGCATGCTAGGCCTATTTTTTTACGATAATTAATCGCTTTTTAAATTTTTTCCGCATACCGAGTGAGCTCTTTAATGGAAGCCAGTTAAACGATGACAAAGATTGTGCACTTAAATAGGTGACAAGTTGTAAAATACAAACAAACCGCCATTACCAATTAAGCGTGTACATGTGTGCGCGTTTTGGGGTCAAAAACGGAATCCAGTTGACGTAGAAAAAAGATACGTCTATTTTGGTTCTGTTTTTGAACGACAGATTTCACGAAGCTCAGAACTAACCACTGATTATGAAAATCATCAAGTGTGGTCGCATCTGTATAACAGTGTTCGAAAAACGACATGAACCCATTTGAAAGTGAAAACGAAAGGAAAAGGAACAAAAGATCACAAAAGGCTTTTTTGAAATGGAATAAGATATAAAACGCATGGTTCATAGTAAGATGGTTTGGGTACGTTCTGTCATATAAAAGCAATGATTGGTTGAAGAAAGTACTTTTCATTGCGTAAAGTTCTGTCCTTGTAAATTTACTTTTGACATCATGCATGTAATTGCAGGGTACATACGAGTACACTTATTTCTTTTTTCTCTTTGTTCAGAATCATTTGATCAAGTTTCTTCAAACCTTCGCCCAGCAGGAGTGTTATCCAAGCTATTTTCAAGCGCTGAACGCCCAGGAGCGTCACACGCTGTCAAAGATCGGAATACCTTCTTGAAAAATCACAGGTTTTCCTATACGATTTATTAATTTATACGAACAGACGATTTTGAAAAAAAAGAGTGGAGGAAGAAAAGGAGAAAACTCCGCACAGAAGGCGAGCTCTTGATGAAAGGCGAGAAAGCCAGTCTCCTCGCCAATAAGTTTAAAGCTGGTGCAGTGAAAAGAAGGGAAAAGAAACATTTTCATAGAATATTTGTAAATAAGAAAAAAAAATGCGAGCAGGATTAAAAACGAGGAAGATGGGAAACCTTTTACGGCTGGAGTGAAATCGGAGATATTCCCAATTTATACGGCTCATGGTTTTCGGCAATACGTGCAGTCAGTTCAGGATACATTCTGTTTTCAAATGACGTTTTGCTCTGATTTATAGTTTTGATTTAGTTGGATTTGGTGTACGTACAGCATTTCTTTCTATGAAGCTACAGCAGTCCATGGTTTCAACAGCTCAAGGTATTTTTTTGGTGATACAGGTTAAATTTCCGTCATATCTTGTTCAAAAATACCGTAAAACGGCTTCCAGCGACGAATGAAATTCCGCCTGGTCAGGGATCCGATCCTCCCAGCATTTTCGAGAGTGACCTACACAACTGCTTAAAACATTATTTGAATTTTGGTAGAAAACAACTTGTAGATAGAAAAGAACTTTCCAAATAAAGAAGTTTTTTAAAAACCACCTTATTGTGCTCCTGTCTGCAAGTGCTTTTCGTCCGCTGTATCCTGTATATAGCTAGGCTAACCAGTTGCCGCCCTGATACAGTGCCACCCTGTTCATCAGCGAATATGATTTCACTCCAGGGAAGAATAAATGTTTCTTAAAGGCTATTTTAAAATTCTCCTTTGGCAAATAGATAGTAGTCTCTTCCATTTAACAAAAAAAGTGTTACTTCCAAGGCAAGAGTATATTTAGCCAACCCATATACTACTGCATGTAAGTTTATGTGGTTCGCGCCAAAAGCCATTTTAAATCTGGACAATGAAAGAAAGGACGTCTGTTTTGATTGCTATAATATGTGCAAGAAGCTGCAAATTTTACCAAATCATTAAAATTGGTCATTTTGGGCTAGTGCATGTCACTGTAAGAGACACTCCTGAACACCATTTGCGACGCATGAAAGTCAACAGACCAGAAAACCTGGTGTTCATAGCCGTTGCATTTACACGTAAAAAATGTTTGAAGGAGTAGGTCGTTTGACAAGCCATATTTTAAAAACTACTTCATTCGGCTGTCTTTGAGGTCACTTCGTACCGGGCAATTTTTTTCGTCGGTAAAACTGGCAAAAGATAAGCGTAAGCATTCATGGAATCTGCCAGGAAAACAGTCGCTGAATGAATGTTGTTGTTTTTTTCTGAAGATTTTTTTTCTGGGAAGCAAAAGCAGGAATAAAGGAAAGCACTGCATTTTTACGGCTAATTTTTACGATCCAACACACCTGCAGTTTTGGCAGGGTCACCTAGACGTTCCGATCTCGCTTAAGCTGTTTTGTCAATAAACATTCCGTTTTTGCTTTGATCGATGGTATTTTAAGTAGATTACTATCTCTACCTTTAATTTCGTTTGATTGGCATTTTCTGATCTTGGTAGAGTGACTGACTTGAACCATTTTTCCTTGCAATTGACATGTAATCTGCCCCTCCCATATCAGCCATGTGGAGTGCTGGCGTTGAATATCTTCGATATCCCTGTTTATAAAACAGACCGCCCTTGGGACGGCCCATTGTAGTTTTCTCTCAAATTCACCGTCTGGATCGAGACTTGTCTAGTTAATTCGATTTTTTTCGGCAAAATTCAACGGAAGATGGAAACTGAAGCGTCAAGTTGTGTGAAATTGACAATCTTGTCGCCGATCTAGCCAATCAGCGCGCGCGGTGTTGAAGGACGGAGTCGCTTTCTTCGGATGCTGTTACACAACTTGCGCGCCGCGATTTCAAAGGAACTGGTCATTGCCTGTGAGAATTGTAGAATAGAAATGACCTCGAGTACATCGGTAAGTTATATTTTGTTTGTTATTAGCGGCTCCGGTTCGAGTTAGCATATAGCTCTTAGTGATAAATATCTTAGGATTGATTTCAGCGCTTTAACGATATAAAAAGTACCCTCATCGCGGCGGCGAATCTCGTTAGCACCGCCAAACCGTTGACATCTGAACTACATGTGCTTGTTTGGATTAGCAAAGAAACTAATCACTTGTGCTTGGAGGCAGTTGATACTTATTTAAGAAGCTTTTCGCGACTACTCCAGTTTGGTTAATCTGGAAATAATGGAAACGTTGCTTTTAAAGGAACTCTCAATTTTTTTGTCTCAACTTATGTGTGTGGTTCTAATAGAAGAACTCATGCTTATGCAAGCTAAGCTTAACGCTCCGGCAGAGTTCTGATTCATGAAGTAAAATTAATTAATTACATGTAGTTGATCGTTTTCATGCAACCTTGTACCAACCTCACATAAACTTCGTGAGGCGAGCGTGTTTCTTTCTACCTTTCTTTCCCAGGTATCTATTCCTGATGGACAAGAAATCGTCAACAGAGTTTTCATCGGGGGCTTGGCTCGGGATGTAAGTTACACAAGTACAATTGAACTTTTTTTCCATTTTTATTTGACAAACCTTTTGTACTAGTTATTTTCCAATCAT